CATCTCCTGAAAGCTTTTCTGTTAAACTTTCCTCCAGTTCACCACCATTAAGTACAAAAAATTCTCAAAAGCAGCAAATTCAATATCTGTGAAGAAACAAACAAGAACCCAAAGAACTGTTGCCTTAAAATATATTAAGTCCACCTGTGGTCAATAAAAATATTCTCCTTGGTGGGGGGAGAACCTATGAGTCAACTGTGCCAACAGTGGCTGTACCTTTACAGCTAGCTATTACCCACTTAAACTCCCTCTAAAATTTGCTAGCCTCTTGATTTCTGGAGTGGCACTCAGTGCCTCAGTCAAGCTGCCTGCTCAGCTTCTGACCTTCCCACTAATGGCTGTTATTTGTGGGAGGCTTAAGGACACTGTCAATAGCATGCTTCCTCCTCTCTTCTCCTCTCTGCATCTCTCTCTCCCTCTCTCTCTATGCCTCTCCTCTCCCCCCTCACCCTCCTCCCCATTCTTTTTTCCTGTCCTGCAGTCCTCTCCACTCCCAGGGAAAAAAAGCGCGCACACGCACACAAAATCAACTGGCATGCAGCAGCAAGCACCTGCAGTAATAGACTCTTTTATTAAAACTGTTATTCTGCAAGACTTGAAATTCCCAGTGGACCGGGCCATGTCAAAGCCGATATAATTAACTAGAGGCTCAGCAACGGATCAATTACCAGACAAGCAAGTGATAGTGAAATCAATGAAAGATCATCAGCCACATTATCAGTGTTGCAACTCATTAGGGTAAAACTGAGAAATGTGCTCAAAGCGAGCCCAAGCAAGGTGGCATTACAAAACAAAGGGCTAATTTGGAGACCCTGCTGTGAACAATCTGTAACAGAATTAGCCTTTTTTCCCCCTAAACTGCACAGCTCTGTAACTAAATGTGACAGACTGAGAGAAGCAGTTTATTAAGACACCAACTCCAAGTTTATTTAGTTCATAAACTCTCTCCTAGAAAATCAATACAGTCTGTACAGGGTTATTAGGCTGACTAGCTAATACATCCAAATCTAGTCTTCCCAAGCAGCAATCCTGGCCAAATGCTACCTGTTCTAGGTGAATTCTGAACTGTTTCAAAGCACAGTAGCAAATGAGGGCTATCATTTAATTGTCATAAATGGGGCTGCCATGTCATAGCATAACAATGCGATAAAGGGAAAAAATATTATTTTCTTTCTTTCTTGATAATAAATATGACACAGAAAGACACAGAAAGAAAACAAGTTTTTACCTAAAACCAGCTCAAGCCATCAAATCTACATTATTAGTTTTCAGTCACACCTTGTTTAAATATACTAATACCAACACACAAAATTAAGAAAACAAATATTTAGTGCATTTGAAAAGGGATATGTGAAGTACTAGCCTGTGAAGAGATAAAAGTAATCTCTTCAGGAAAAATAAAATAGAAGTACATCTCCTTCAGCAACAGATTAAGCCTTGTCTAAGTCTATAACTATTTGCTGTGTGAAAGAAGAGACACAACTGACATGACATTTAAAAAAATTATAATTGTGAAAATCCAAGCTAAGAACCCTACATTTTCTTTTAAATGTACTGTCCTGCTCTTTGCTGATTTAATTCCTGTGCTGGCAGAAATATTTTGGGGATCATTCCAAGGAGCATGGACATGTCTTATTTTTTTCTCCTAACACATAGCTACCTTGCTCTGAAAACAAAGTCTTTAAAAGCAGTGTTAAATGAATAATCCTAATTTGTCAATAGCTTTCTAGGTAGCCATATGAACTACATGTATCTCACATTTGCATAATATTTTGTATTGGAAGATAAAGAGAGTCACAAAATTGTTTATATTTTTCAGATTATCTAAATGGACTGATGCTGAATGAAAGGGGTGGTTGCTGGACCTGGATACGTGTGCAAGTCAGTAACCAGTAAGGTTATTGTGAACAAAACCTCTTGTAGCCCAAGAATTCAAAGAGCTTTGCAATCTACATGTGAATTAAAAACTTTTTTTCCAAACACTGGATACTAAAATAAAGCCTTTTATAAAATTAAATACATTTTTGTGGATTTATTTGAAATATAAAACTGTCCATTGCCTCTCTCCTAAAATTATAGGTGTTAAGATACTCAACATTACCAGTTTAGCAAGACGAGATAACACATTAGCCACATATACATAAAAAAAAACCAAGATAAGATAGATAATGTCTACAGGTAAACCTCATCACAAAACCACTACATAATGTGGGCATCCCTTACTTGTCCCAAATTCCTTTATTATGAACATGTAAGTGTTAGTTTACACAAAGGATTAATAAAAATATGTAAAAATCATTAGATATGGAAAAATATTTTTTCTTTTTGCTCCAATTATTTTGTATTATTAAGTTGTTGAAACATGCAACAGTTACTATCTTTAATGTTCAATAATATGTAAAGTCTTTAAAGGGGCCTTTGTTCCAGGTCTACACTTTAGATATTAATCAGGAAAATAATTATAGAGGAATTTTGTAAAAAATAATAAATCTACATGCATATAACTATGTACTGTGCATGTACATTCAATGAGGCCCAATTAGTTGGAAAGAATTTGCATTTCAGTTAGTATGAGCTAACAAGACTGTAGGGAGACAATGCAATTCTACTGGCAGGGCAAGAAAGAATGCTGTTTTTCTGTAAGCGTTAATTCCCACAACTGATCATTTTAAAATGTTACTGATCTTTACAGTATTTGTTTTTCTAACATCTAGGAGTTCACTATAAATGTTTATATTAGCTATACATGCAGCAGTGTCCCATAGATCACTCCTGAGGAAAAGAGAAAGCAGTGGGCATGGATTTATTTATGTATACTAGTGGTAAAACTATTGTATAATAATTGTTAATCAGCACTTGTGGTTTTGGTTCTAACATTTGACCAGGTAAAACTGAAAAATGAGGGAGTAACTTACATGTTACAATTTACATATGCACATATTTCTGAAATTAGTAGTACATACACGTGTGTATTCTAGCACTTGATCTCATAACTGAAATACATAATTCTGTAATATGATCTGTACACTTGATTGACTTACTCTACAGTACCTGTAAATCCCAAAGTTCAGCTTGCTGCAGATGTTAACAGATTCTGTAATCTGTAATGACAGTAAACTGGCCTTTGCTCTTCCCTTATTCACTATTCATTTTCAAGGCTTGGTTAAGTATATAGCTGGGTTAAAGATCAGTGGTTTTTCATGTGACACACTCTGGTATTCCTCTGATGGCTTGTCAGGACAAAACTGTCCCTGTTCTTGCCAAAATAATAAAAATGAAATGGTCCTCCACATCGCATGACAATCAGTCCTTCTTTGTGTTGGAACAACCAAACTTATATAATTAAATGTTTTATAGAAACGTTAGAATAGTTGACTTTGCTCCAATAAAACTGATACATATCCATAAATGACAGAGAAATTAATCATCTCTCATTCATTAAAATAATGTGTGAACAGTCTTTTACCAGTTGTACTTGTATGTGACTCAAGGATAAAACTGAAGTTGTGCATGTATGTCATAGGGGAGTTAATACTTTCAAAATATGCAAAGCCAACATGATGGTCACAGTCACAAGGAATGATGTAAGGAGCTTGCTCTACAACATCTGTTATACTGTATGAAATGTTAACAGATGCCTTAAATGAAAAAAGGAAGAATTAATAAAGGAAACCTTTTCTGGACAGATAATCAAGCCACATTTCCATATCCTAAGAAAGAGACATTGGCACTATCATAGTTCCTCTGAAAACTGCCATCCTTACCTTGTAAAACATGTTCTACATGAGTTTTAATAGGTCACAAACTTCTGACTCAAAACTAAAAAACAAAATGCATACTAGTTGATTAGGTCATCCTCCAACAACGAGAGCATCCTTCTTAGACCCCTATGCTACAAATGTTTTGTTGAGTCCTGCTCCTTCTCAGCTTTATCTACAGTGTTGTGCATTTAGGAGTATTTTTTTTTTCATTTTGATGTGTTTTACTGTCATTGATCCTAAAAGGAGCATACATACAGTAGGAGCACCAATAAATATTTCAGAACTATACCATGGCTTTGTTGTATTTAAAAAAAGAAAGAAAAACTTTCTCAGGCCAAAATTTTTGGCAGAATTCTGGACAATAGGGCACTGGAATTTTCTAGCAATTCAGATTCTTCAAAATCAATAACATTGCTACCCAGAAAGACCCGTTACAAACAGGAACAGGTGTGTTTGTTGATGGATAGTTGGGTGTTTCAGATTTGAGTAATGGACCTGGGGGCAACTATGAAAGCTTACCTCTACATGGCACAAATTATACCGTTTATCAACCCAGGGTGATGAGTGACATATGGTTTTTATAAAACAGTAACATGAGTTTATGTTGCCTGAAATTCCACTTCTTTAAGGGAAAAGACATCCTGTATTTCTTGAGCAACTATATACTGGAAGGTGATTATGATGTGTGCCAAAATGACTAAGTTTACAGTCCAGCATCAAAAAAGCCCCCATCAAATGGACAAAAACAGCCATTTCTATGTCTCTATGGAACATACAGACATAGAATTAGACAAATTTTAGGGAGGATGAAACACAAGTAGCCTGATATATTCTTGCAAGCATCCATTATCTAGTACTAAAAACAGCAATTAATTATACCCAGATAATTTGCTAAATAACCACTTCCTATAAAATTAGATCACATAGACTAGCTTGAGTTTTAACTAACACTACCCACCAACTTCAAAATGCTAAACAGAACTTTTTAAAAAGCTAACAAGCACAACATTTTACCTGCCAAGCAAAAACTTGATGCTATTATATATGTAAATATTGCTACTGTTTTACTGGTAAGCAGTACATGGAAACTGGCATCATTTCAGCACATGGGACACATTTTTCTCTGGCCTCTATTTCATGCATACATTGGCTACTATGTTTATAAACAGGCAATTTCCCCTTTATCCTTTATTTCTTTGTAACTATATACAAAAAGGGCTACTGTAGTAGCTTCCAAAA